AGGGGTTGGCCCCTGACCTACGGCCATCTCTTCTTTCTGCTGGCAGTGGTTGTGATTTTCCAGCAGTTCTGTGCCAGTCTCTAGGGCAAAACGTATTGAGGATTGATTTCTCCGACTGTTTCTCATCACATCCAAGATATATTTTGTGAGCAATGACTCTGGGGCTATTTTGCGACAGGAATGGCTTAGTAGTGGTGGAGTTTCCTACAACAGTGATGCTTACATGCTATCTGCTGCATTACCTATGGCATAATTCAAATACAATTATTAAGAACGCACTTAAAGATGCAAGATGATACAGCTCTATTACATCCATCTACCTATCTATCTATCTATCTATCTCAGGACTATTCGCAAGGACATTTTTCATTCTCACCAGCTTCATCTGAGTTCTGGAAATCCAGAACAGTCTTTCATGACAAAAGTTAAAATCTATCAGCTTACCTCTTTGGAGAGTCTTGTGAAAAGGTCCCCTCCCCGCAGGAAATCTAGTATTAGATACAATTTTCCCTCTGTTTGAAATGCTGCATAAGAAAAGGATGGAGATGTTGAAGTTTGAATCAAGATAAAGTCTCCAAAGAACTGTTGTTATTGACTAGCAGTGTATCATTCATGCTACTAGCGTCCCTGTCATTTCAGCACTTGAAGAACAGAAAAATTTAATTTCTGTATAGAACTAAGCAATCGAGCTTAGACTATGGGGAAAAATGGTGTCATTTGAGAGACAAAAATGCATTACTAATATATTCTTTTCCATGCTAAGTATCTATGAATTAAGATTGCTTTCTATTGCACAAGGTACAAGGGGTCACTAAGGGCTAAGGCATAGAGAGAAGCTCCCAGGTTTGTGTGAGAGGAGGGCCTGCACTATTTGAAATGTCCTCAGAAGACCTTTTACAGTAATAATGGGGCTCCTCAGGGAGCTGGTGGAGCTGGTGAGGTGGAGCAAGTCAGCTCCAGCAAGACACCACATTCATATGCACACATACACAAATTTGGACTGGTGCTGATTATGAAAAATAGTTTTTATTTAGATTCTCTGGTTTTGATACCTCACAGCAGGTGTGGGGATTGGCAGATGTATACTCACCAGCTACCCCACCAGCACAATCTATCACATTAGACTTTATGACAAGTGGACTTTGATAGAGGAATGGCTAAAACCTACTTATACTGAAAATCTCCTCTAGCACAAATGAATAATTTCACAGGGTAGCCTCTATGATTTTGTTGGAGACAGACTCATAAGTCAGCAGGGGGTATCTGTATGAAATTATAAAACATCTAGTTACAATTCCCCAACCAACTGAAGAACAAACATGAATTATACTTTATTATAGTTACCATAATGAAGCTTGACTATGAAAGGATGATTCACTTCTGCCAAAATATCTCTCTCCATTTTCGATCGTACCCGATCCCGAACTATAAAGAAAGAACGATAAGAACAGCGACATATTAAGAGGAAGCATGGTCATGGGAGACAGTACTGGAATGAGGTTCAGGCAATTTGGATGCAACTTCTCACTCTGCTGATGGCTTGTGGTGTGGCCTTTGGCAAATGGTGCCACTCCTTAGCACCTCCTTTTTCTGTCTTGTCTATGCAAAGAGTAAACTCTTCAGAAAGGCGATATGTCTTCCTCTGTAGAGAACTGCCCTAACTAAAAGCAGTACAATATTATGAACAGCAGGAAGGTGTTTACGCTTTGCAGAAGAAAATGTTAATGTGAAAATTAAAACTATATAAAATTAATAACTCTATCTCATTTAAGATTTAACAGAACGTACTAGTTCCAGAGCTCATTGGGTTAACTTTGTGCAAATTAACTTTTTGTATTGTGCTGATGCTGGCAGCCTTTATGAGATATAAACCACACAACCAACCAGGAATAAAGAAAAAAGGCTGATTAGAAGTAGTAAAAAACTATTTTTATGTGTAGAGATAAATTATTGCATGATAGCAGTGAGAAAAATACTTTTTGTGGTGGAGATGAATAGAGAGTAAGAGAAAAAACAGTTACAGAGGTGAGCTAGGTTCAGACTAATCAAAACCGATAGCAAACACATTTAGCAGTATGTTCAGACATTGAGGAGGATTGAAGTCCCCACATTATCAGCTCTTGATCTTACAGGTTAATTTTTCAGTCAATTGCAATTTTACTAATTCCATAATGAAAGCATTCATTTCTCATTTCATTCTTTCTCTGCGTTACAGAATGCCAATATGCTTTTCAGCTGAAAGCATCTACAAGGAACATTATGAGACTATTTTGGGTGGTAAAGCTTGAGATCTCCGTGAGATTCTGTCAACACCTGTGTGCGTTGTGGATCTGCTGAGAAGCTGGGTACTCTCAGCACTCAAGTAATGAACTACCATAATGAAACCACGTATTCTGTTTCAGTATGCCAAAAATTGATGCACAGAAATAAGACCAAAACAGCTAATCTGAAAACCTAAAATAGGAGTGGAGGGAGACTTGGATTTCTTGCCATTTTGATGCTTTACCTAGGTCAATAGTGACGTAAGCTTTACTAGCTCACTCAGCCTAAGCTACCTTGTGGCTAAAAATCTAAACAAAGTGAATCAATCTCAGAATCTTAGTCTTATCTCACGAGTAAAAATCACACATCATACAGTCACAAATTGCTTAGCCTGCATGAAGGCAGAGTATTTCTCACACTGTAGATCAGCGATGCTCCCAGGGAGGAATTCTTGTTGGACAGGCAGGTGTAGCTGAACACTCTGTGTGGGACATTTCCCATTAATTTCACAGCAAGCTTAGTTAGATAGCCTAACAAAACACCTCTCTGTGCTTGCACTGCAGGGGCATGAGAATAGGCTGGCAGAACAGCACTGCGCCCTCCTGCCCCCATCATTTCAACCTCCGAACAGGTAAAGGCACAGCTGTGTGTTCAGGAGCTTTGCCGAAGTCCCCTGCCCTGTGCCCTGCTTGCTGCTATGTCACCCTCCTCCCCATATGTGTACAGCAGCCACAGCGACATTGAAGAAAAGGCTATGTCACCACAGGAGACAACCTCATTCTCTGGAGTCATGGTCCCATAACCACTCTGAACCCAGTTTCCTCCAAAGCTGCTCTAATCATCACCTTCACAGTGGCTGCCAAAAAAGATAACCGGAACCTGTAATCAGGAGTACAGCTTGGCACGTGAGCTGATGACCTGCCCTCTCTGTCTTCCAGCATCAAATACTGTCCAATTTAAACGCTCTGAGAGCAGAAGCTATACAGGCCTGGATTTTTATGCAGTCCTACCATCAAAGAACCTATTAATCATATTCTCTAGAAAGGTAAAACTACTTGCTTTCTCTTACTTTCTTTTTCTTACCCTATTACTTCCATATGCCTAGGCCGTGCCTGATACTAACCTTCAAAGTAGTCTCCCTAGAGATATCTACATTCTTCCACCAGCTTATACACCACAGGGCACTGTTATAGTTAGTTATTGTACACATGCTACACATCCACCGTCATGGTGTTTAATAAATACGGAAGGTTAAATCTCTTGTCCTTTGTGGTTTATTATTAATTCTGTCATAGCAAGAGGAAAGATATATTTTCTCTTATTCCAGATATACCTGGAAATAGGAATTTCCTTGCTTTTCCTCCCTCTTGCATTTTTGAGGTTAGGGCAGCATGGGTCTGATATGCATGAGGAAAAGTTTCAAGAAGAGATGGCACTTTGACATAACATTTCAACAGCATAAGGGTCTGGCTCTGGCTGACTGCTCTGTTATCTTTCAGGTACAGTCAGTGGGAAAGTGCCTCTCCTGCACTTCAGATATTTTTTTCTAGTATTCAGTGGCCCCAGTCTGCTCTGCTGAGGGAGTCTCCCTTCTAGTTCTTACATCCTGACAGTCAGATAATTAGATTAAATTGCTCAAGCACAATCCGAATTAGTTCTGGCTGCTTATCCAGCCTGCTAGATCCTGGCTACGGGGCGGCTCCTCCAGCAGCATGGGGAGAGATGGACAGGATCTGAATAGCTGCTGCAGTGCCAGGGATGATGATGCCTGAGCATTGAAGACACTTCTATGCATGTGACCAAACAAACATGCATGTCTTTGCTTAGTCTCTCTTGGGGATCAGCGAACATGTATCACCACGAATTTCTCCATTCATTTCCAACATTACTGGATCTCTGACAAGGACCTGTTTCCATGTATTCCTTTCTGAGCGAATCGCTTTTCTCTGACGGTCTTATAGAAAAGCTGCAACAACAACACTGGAGCTCAGTGGGCTCAGAGAAGATGACGGAGTGGCTCAGTTCAGCACTGCTCAGCACAGGGCTGGGCTCTCTCCGCACAGGTACCTGCGTGGTGCTGTGGAACAGCCTCTCCTTCTGCCCACCCCTTGTCAGTGATAGGGGATGTATACCAAAGGCACAGAAGAGAATGAAGTAACTCAGCTTGCCCATCCTCGTTTTGACCACCTGCTGGGGCTTCACTGCAGCACACAGGTGGCTTGGGCAGGTAGTGCTTAGACCAGATGTTTACCTACATGAGTCAAATGCTCATTGGAAATAGCACTCATCTGCTAAACACTTATCCCTTCTACCCAGTATTGAATTTGGTTTGAAAGGTGAGGTCTGCCACTTATCTTTAAATGATACATCAGACAGAGGCAGAGAAAGTAACCTGGAGCAACGAGCACAAGGTCATGAAGATTGTTTGCATGATCTTGGACAAATTAGCTATCCCTGAAATAATCCCTGGGGTCATGAGACAGAAGAGACCAGACTGCTGGAGCATGTAACAGTGGAGGAAGCATCTGCTACTCTGAAATAAGAATGATTCCCATTTCCAGGTATTAACGTGGCATGAAAGAGAAGTGGAGGCAGCTGAGGATACATACAAATAAATGGAGTTTATCCACTTCTGTCTGTCTAGCTCTGATCATCAAAGAGGAGGATGTTACGGCTTGCTTTGTTTAACACTGAATGTCTAAGGAAAGGGCTTTATTTAATGTATGAATTTTTACTTCTTGGGCTGTTTGAATTTTAATAACCACGAAGCAGAGAAGGGAAAGGGGAAAAGGGAAAAGTATATTCAGAGCATCTTCCAAGGAGAGAAAAAAAGTTCCTCTTCAATAACAGACAAGCTGTATATTTGCTGAATAAGAAAATAAAACTGTAATCCTGTTTCCCTCTCTGAAGCTGTCATGATATCAACTTTGGTTGAGATTTAAATATGGAAATATAAATGAAATTTCTGCCAATTGACATCTTGTCCATACATCTCACTTAAAAACTAAAAGTCAGTGCATCTCTAGCTATGTACAGTCTCAAGTAATGATGAGGCCTCCCCCTAAAGGGGGCCTACAGGAAAGCTGGAGAGGGACTTTTTACAAGAGTGTGTAGTGATAGGACAAGGGGCAATGGATTTAAACTGAAAGAGGGCAGATGTAGGTTAGATAGAAGAAAGAAATTTTTCACTC